TACGCCACGTCCTTGGCGTTATTAACGCTACCTGCAGACCCCAGATTAGCTAACGCCACAGAGCTAACGCCAGTGATGCTTGAATGATTTGACCTCATTTCAAGAGATTGACCAATCACGATTGCAATATATTAGCTACTTTGGTCTCTTTTCTGTCCTCTCTATAAATGAAATGGTAAAGGGGTTCCTGTTTTATTGCATTTTACTTAGTTATAATGTATATGATTTATTTATTGTGTTTTGTAAGATATTTTAACCATTTAGACTGTCTATTAATACATGCAACATCAATAATGCTAGCTGAAAAATCAAAAGTAAAATTGTTCATTTAAAATACAATAATCATATAAGTTCACTTCGAACAATTCACAGATTTAATGATGCAATGTTAATTTTACTACTGTCAACACGCACATTATTTAAAACTGAAAACTATTCCACATAGGCCTATATTACTGCTAGTTTAACGAACGCCGTTTGTGTGAACACTTTGGAATTTTAATCCGTGGATTAGCTTACGCCTGGCGTAAGCCACGCCAGTCTTATGCCGTGTGTGTGAACATAGCCTTTATACACTCAGTTCAGTGTATACAACCACTTCAAAAAAGTGACCTACTGTAACCACTGATTACAGCCAACATTGTACATTAGATACTATATTAATATTATTATACAAGTAAATTGAGAAACTTAATTTAATGAGTTATACAAATACAACTGCAGAAAATTACCCTCTTTTCAACAGAAAATGTCAAAACATTGAATTATATTTAAACGTTATTTCCAAATAATCAGTGTTGTTGGTTCAACACATAATTACTATAATATAAATATTACTATTATTAAAACATCATCAATTTTAAAAAGTATCCAATGTGAAGTCTAAATAATTTTAGTATAGCAATATGTAGTATCATTTCACAAAATGACAGTCCTTTATATTTAATCAAATTGATTAAACCACAGACCAAATTTTATCACATTACAAAGAGCAAATATTTGTATACTTTAAGATAGTTAATTCATAATTCAAAAATATATAATTAGTATTAAAGATATAAGAGATAACAATGAATAACAATTCAATTAGATACAGTGAATGTATTCCACATCTTAATAGCGAGCTGACGTCATGTTGATCATGGGTACAGCATCGAAATGAAGGCAATAATATTTATATCTGATACGTTAACTCTTAAAAATTATCGTATCCATTTTACACCAAAAAACCGCCTCCCTCGATAAACCTCACAAAAACCATTCTCAACAATAAACGTCCTGGGACATTTCATGTAAATACGGTATATGATTTCACAAAATGACAGTCCCTTATTTAATAAAATTGATTAAACTTGAATATTTTATCATTACAAAGAGCAAAATGCTGTCTCTTATACACATCTAGATGTGTATAAGAGACAGCTCTTACACAGATGGTCTCACTGCGCTATTAGAAAATAGAATTTTAAAAGGCGAGTTTTGCGAACAGTTTACAGAACAGTCTTACAGTGAATCACAAATTTGCTAAATACTGTATCTAACTAAAAATACTAATTAAATTTGATATTCCTACTGTATAGTAGTATAGGGGCGAGTGGGATTTATCTGTAATAAAATTTACAAAAATCAGGCCCGTATCCAGGGGGGTTTTATGGTTCAGGAGAACCCCCTTTTCTAGCAAACTCCCCCCTTTTCTAGCAAACTCCCCTAGATGTGTATAAGAGACAGGATTGTGCACTATTGTTTTAAAATCTGGACAAACTGTAAATTCAGACTCCAGATGGAAAAAATTTGTTGATATGATGTATTAAAAACTAATTAGGCCTATTCTAAGACAGAAAAAGTTGTTTGACTAAGAACTGGGGAACAGTGAATGAGATATAGATTTTTAAATATACTTTAAAAACTGGGGGAAAAGGTGTAAGAAAGGACAGTCAAAATTTGTTTTTCCTCCAGAGTCCGAATTTAACACTTACAGTATCACAATTATTTGATATATTCAGAGTAACGAAAGTTCAGGAAGATTGAGAACAAATGGGGATGTGATATTTCGAGTAATGTCTTTTTACCCAATCCACTGAGTGTGCTGATTTTTTTGTTATGATGGTGATGATAAATGCTGTCTCTTATCTAAAATGTCAATTTTTTTAAAATCTATTTTATTGCACTAAACTAACCTTTATATATCTACACACCATCCTATGCTGTTATTTTCCCCCTTTTTAATGTTAAAACAACACTTTTTAAGGATTTAAAGATAGTTTCTGCATGAGAAATGCCTGAAATCATAAACTTTGAAGGCTGATTTCTCATATATTGTTCTTTAAACTGCTGTATGTTTAAACGCTTGTAACTTCATAAGGAAATGTCCGATTTAAATGATTTTTTTACCATTTTATAGCTATTATTTTACTCTTTAACACTGCATTAATAACTCAAAATCGGTTTTTGCGACGAGTGACTGGTTTGGCTTGTCTTTGCCAAAAAAATCCTATTTAATAGGATTTTTTTCAAGCAGCAATGAAGGATTGAATTGAAATTTATCTGATCTTAACAGTTGTCATTTTGAGATAATTTTATTTTATTTTGTCTTCTTGTGTACACATTGCAAATCATCGATTTACAATTGCAGGTATAAAGCATACGTTTCACGTGCTAGGGTTAGTTGCAGGAAGTGTCATGTGAAGTCTGCTTTAAATTAAATCCTTTTTGTGATTAATGCCTTGTTACAGTATATTCCTCATTAAATCTAGGGCAGAAATAATACAGGGAAAATCCCTTAAAGTCAGGCTTCGGAGGAAAAAAAATTTTTGATATGTTGTAGAACTGATTTTTCTAAGACAGAAAAAAGTTGTTTGACGAAAAACTGGGGAACGGTGAATGAGATACAGATTTTTTAATATTTAAAAACTGGGGGTTTAAGGTGTAAAAATGGGCAGTTACGCCCCTTTTTCCCCAAGTTTTTAAACATATAAAAAAAAAATTTTCCTCCGGAGCCTGACTTTAAAATCAAACTTTATTTTATATATTTTTTTGGGGTGAGGGTGAACAATGTTGCTGAGGAGTTAAAAAAAAAAGAAAAAAAATTGTTTTTGTAAAACTGCTTCATTGATAAAATGAAATACAATTTATATGAAATTTTTTCAGTGTTTAGAACAGTTTGATGTTGAAAGGTCTCGAAAGCGCCGATGAGGGCAGCATAATAGAGGTAGTAGAGTATATTGGCCCTAACGGCCGCCCATACAAATGAGATATATTTATCAGCAAAAAGGATCAATCAATCAATCAGCCGGTATTAGAGCACTTTATTGGACCTAAAAAGATCTCTTAATCAATCAGACAAATGTTTCTAAAGCTTCCCATCTGAGCTAATAATAAAAATAATTGGTCCTAACTGCCGCCCATACAAAAAGAGAATGAAAAAAGATCTATTAATCGATCAGCCAGGCATTCTAGAGCTCCTCAATCAGCCAAGTGTTTCTAGAGCTTCTCATCGGAGCTAATGGCCTTAACGGCCGCCCATACAAAAAAAAGAATGAAAAAAGATCTATCAATTAGCCGGGCATTCCTAGAGCTCCTCATTGGAGCTAAAAACATGCAAAGATAATTTTTATGATCAGAACTTCTTGCCAGGTTTCGATTATGTTATGCAGATACTTGGTGTAATGTTAGACTCTCAAGTACTGTAGGTATGGTAAAAACTTTGCAAAATGCTGCGTTAACTGATCTATGCAACAGTTCAGCCTGTGTGTACAAAATAACATGATTTGACAGTGGAGAGGATTAATCATATTCATTTGCATGACAGTAGCTGGGCAACTTCAATCAAGCAAGTTCTTAATTTGCTGTTGAAGAGGAAATTATGATGAAGACATGTTTCCTTGTTACTCACAGGGCTGTAGTTTTTTTATCCTCCTACTTGGCCAGTCTTGCGAAAACTTGTCTATAGCGACACAAAACAATGATTTTTTAATCCTTTTTCCCATCCCAGTCTCTCTCCAAATCTTTGAGAACCATTAGTGATTCAAGCCAATATATTCAGCAAAATAAAAGACATAATGAAGACAATTTTTTTTATTGGCAGGAGATAATTCTCCCGTCTCACACTGGCGAATTCGGCAGAGCTATTGCGAACAAGCACTCAAATGTGGGCATAAATTTTCCCATTCAAATTTGTCTTGTGTAATTTTCCATCTAAATACGGCAGTCAACTAGCCTTTAATGTTAATTTAACATTAATTAAATATAAACTATACAATATCATTGTTGATGCTTACATGGATAGAAAACATGTATGAATGCAATGAATCCTGGTAGGAATATATCGGGAGATATCCATGTAACAATTTGTTACATTTTGTTACATTGTTTTTCATTTCTTTAGGCATGAGAGCCAAGGATATGCCAATAGGTAAACTTAATCACTGTCCTAAGTGGCATATCCATTAAACAACAGGGGACTTAATGGACCAGTACACTGGGGCCCCCCCCCCCTTAATAAAATTCTCTCATATAAATCCAGCAAGTCTTGTGCTGCATACAAATCATATAGTAATTTTCTGTCATCAAATCCTTCAAGCATCGTCTACTAATCTTTTGGGCCTTGTTTTGTCCCCATAAAAAATCAGACCATTAGCCGTACTACTGTGTTTGCCGATAAAAGTCTTGCAGACCTTGATTTAGACGGTGTTAAATGCTTTCTACCCGGAAATCTTGTGGATTGTGTTCACGCTTTTTTGAGTAAAAATCTTGAGGACTTTAGAATTGGCCCATACATACTTTGCAGACTTTTGACATTTGGACAATGATGGGAAACCTCAGAAATCTGTAGACAATCTTTCACACAGGAGGTACATTATCTTGCGGAGCTTTTCCACAAATCTTGTGGGCTTTGTCTACAACAAATCTCATGGCCCTTAAAAAGCATTATAAGTCTTACCATGTTTAGTACCAGTGAAAATTGGATCAGAATGAGAAACAGTGTTCATTTTTTTGCTTACCTATTTGTCGTGCTGCTTTGGTCTGGGTAGCTACTTCACCAACCTTCATCAGGCAGTCCATGTAGGCCTTAGCTGAGGCCGAAACATCTGAAATAAAATGATAATCAGTGAATTCACATGTGCTTTAGAGTAGCCTACAGTGAAAATTTTCAGTAAATCTCACTTTAAATTAAACTCCACTAAATTAAATACAACGCTCTTTTTTATATGAAGCAAAATATGCATATCACTAGCCAAAACATTTTGTTAGCCTAATGCGTAGCCTAAAAATATAAAGTACTACTTTGCAATACATTGTGACATGACTTTTTCAACAGGCACTAATAAATAAGAAGCGCCTTGTTTTCAACTTTTTAACAATATCTCCGAACAAGGAAAAATGAAAATTCCTATTACCATAGTTGAGTAAAGTGTATGTACATTGATTTTGAAAATACGGAATGAGAGAAATCCTGTAATATTTATGAAGATTGAACCTAGCACATTGGGACTGAAAGTCAAACACTATAAACAGTAGACCAGAGCTTTATAGTTAGAATTACAGTGACTGTTATAGCTCTCACAATATTTTTAAAAGGAGGTCAGTTCTTCTGTATGCCATTACACTTCCTTGATATTACATGCTACCTCATACTGTAAATCTGCAGTTCCATATAAGCAATCAAACATAATTTACATAATTAGCTTTATCAAGGCCTGAAACAAAGAAATCAATTTTTGATGCATCGATAGCAGTCTCTATTTTTCCTAAGGCTGCGGCTGATCGCCCATTTAACGACAGCTCTAAAGTCAGCTCACATAGTATTTAAAAACAGGAATGATGTCGATAAATTTGGTATAATAATACATATCCAAGGAATTTAACAGATTATAATTCCAAGACCCCTCTAATTCGAGACCACTTTTCCGAAGACCCAAAAAACAATCTTCAACCCTTTAACACAAATATAGCCCTCTAATTGCAGACCAACCCCGAGACCACCCCAAATGTTCAGGAACTAAAGGTGGTCTCGAATTGGAGGGCAAACCGTACAGGGGTAAACACAGGAACAATGGCTTTCAATAGTTGGTTGAGTGGATAAAAACTCAAAACTTTTCATTATAGGCCTATTTGAATTACACTGTAACATACTATTAAGATTATATAAAACAGAATTACTATAGGGTGCTTCGTAAGCTTGAAGCCAATCATCCGTTAGATTTATCCAGTGTGAAATGCTTTAAGGATGTTCATTAAAAGTCCGAAAATATTCCTGTGAAATCCATGAGTGGAGAAATTGAAAAAAATTTTTTTTATTCGATTTAAAAAATACATCTTTTCAAATTATTGGAATTTTTTCCTTATGGTTTTTTTTTGTTTTAAAAAACTAGAACAATTTTACTATGGAACCAGATAAATTTATTCAACATATCTTTTAAAAGTAGTTAGCTTACTGTATCACATATGAAAGATGCTATAAATAGACTGTGATGTACAATCCAATTTGCAAAAATAAATAAAACAACCTTAAAAAAAAAAATCTTCGTAATGAAGGAAATTCTCAGGAGTTATATGTCACATTATTATTACCGGACGCTCAATTGGAATGACTCAAGTATTAACGTTTTATGATTTGAGTCATTGGATTGGCGACTACAATGCCTAAGCTGCGACTATTTCTCTACCTTGTTTTAAAGCCAACTTTCTTTTTAATAAAAGATTTTCAGAAGAAAGCAGAAACAAAATAAAAATAGAATTTCATTTCCTCATTCAGCAAACTGGATTTGCCGAAAACATAATGAATGCAGTGTGAGAAAACAATGAAATTTTATTGACAAATGAAATAATGCGTGTCAGAGAAAAAAAGTAGAGAGCTCTTGGGTACTTGCTCAAAATCCCATCATGTAAAAATATGTTGTTGCCAAGTAAACAGTTCAGTAATCTTGTTGATAAAGGCTTTGCATTTGTGGCAAGGACAAGCCAAACCAGTCACTCATTGCAAAAAAGGTTTAAACAGTAAAATGAGAGCTATAAAATGGTAAAAGAATCAGTTAAATCTGACATTTCCTCATGAAATTACAAGCGTTTAAACATACAGCTGTTTAAAGAACAATTTTTGAAAAATCAGTCTTCAAAGTTGATAATTTCAGGCATTTTTTAGGCAGAAACCATCACCAAATTGTCAACAAATTGTTGTTTAAACATTGAAAATGGGGAAAATAACATGATGTATAGATATATAAAGCTTTAGTTATAGTACAATAAAATAGAATTTTGACATTTCAGCATGTTTTTGGTCATTATCTCTGAAACATGAGTGATTGGTTTGGTTTGTCTTTGCCACATTTATTGTTTTCAATTTTGAAAAGAGATTTCATCGCAGTGGCAACCATGATAATAATTTTTTATTACAAAAAATGTCTTATTTTATCTTCAACTCGATTAATGGTATGTCAGTAAAACATGAAAAAATACAAACAATTGTTAACTTTGAACAGATGGTACAAGTATATTGTCATGATCTATAATATTATTTGAATGCAATAGTAGTAATTATTACATAGTTTAGATTCAGTTATGGAAATGCTTTCAGTTTCAGACACTGAGGAATAAAATGTCTAATATATTTACCTATAAAATGGAATAAAAATTAAACAAGGAATATTACAAACAAACATATTAAATTAGTACTAAACACGAAGACCACAATGCTTGTACCTGGAAGATCTACACATGCTTTTAGGTAATTTTACTGATTCATTTACGTTTGTGTCGGAAATAATTTCATTCACTGAGGGATGGGGTTATGGCATTAGGGTAAGGAGTTTGACTTTAGGTGAGATGGTCAAGAGTTCATACTTTAATAGATAAGCAGTGGCTGGTCAATGTGGTGACTATTTGTAGGAAGAAACAGACAGGATAGTGACTTATCAATGTCGATAATTAGCAGAACAGTGATAAAAGCATTTCACGACTTCAGTTTTTGTATGAAATTATCTGTAGCATGCAACAAAAGCCTTAGTGCAACTTTCCACCCTTGGTTTGGATTAGTTCGAACCTACTATCGGCAAATCGTTTGACAATGATTAACAATAATTTGGGAGTTTTTACACATATTCGCTTCAATTTTCCCAAGCCGATTTTCTCCACTTGCATGAAATTGAGCAATTTTTTTTAGAAACTTAAGTTTGCTAGAAATTGAGAAATAGACATCAGAAATAAGTGGCTTCAATAAAATGCATACACAGCAGTTTTTCCAAGTTACAGAAAAGGTAAATTTTAAATTTGAAAACCATGGTAGCTTTGAAGTACCCCTTGCTCCCCCCCAAAAAAATCATGCTCAAGCAGTTAAATATCACCTAAAATCACCTTATTTTGGGAGCAAGCATCTCCTCTCCTAATCATCGAGGCCCCCCCCACTTCACCTTTGTGCCCTATCTTGCCCCTACCATTTCAGGACTCCTTGGTACGCCACTGACTATAGCTCTTGTAATGCTAAATAAATGGTTAGTTGTTCAAGATTATTTTTTTTCCAGGCATAATTTTCATATTTCAACTTTGATCGCAATTAAGTGGTGGTACTTAAGGTAAGTAGAGTACAGTATACACACTTGATTTAATGATCTTGACAATGTGAACATAATCAACTAGTCCTTATCAGCTAAGAGTAATGTAATAGTACAATACAAGGGGCTAAGAGGCTGATAACAGATCATTACAATCACCTTATAACATTAGGTCAAACATTCAAACACACAGAAGTACTGTAGAAAACAGTACTGCAACAGTACTGTAGCCTAGTTATTGGCCACCTACTGATATGCATGCATACATTCATTGTTCATAATGATGCTTAAATTTCTCACGAAAATTCACTTGTGAAATTAAGGAGAAGAGTTCCCATAAAGAAAAACAAAGATAAGATCTATTCTACTGTAGAACCTAAAAAGAAGGGTTTATTTGTTTGTTTATTTATATATTATTGAGGGGGTAACAAAAAGGTAATCACAAGTGGAGATATCATATTTATTAGAGCTTCAAAGGAGGCCCTTTGAAACATCATAAAGAATTTAGGCTTCTTTTATTTACTGGTAATATATATTTTTTTAAAGTTGACCCAAATTTTTGAGATTTTGGGTAAACCAAGCTTGGGAAACACAGAATATTCTTAATTTTAGCCTATTTATACAAATTAATATTTTGTAATTGTCGAAATGTCACTCAAGGCTCAAGAATGTCACCAATTTAATGAAATGAGTAGCCTATTAAAAAGCAATTAAGTCTTGCAAATTAGTAAATTACATCCGGACTTTACCATGTGCTATACAGATTGTTCTATTATCAGATAACTAGCAGAGTTATGTGTACACTACCTGCATAATGTGTGAAAATTTGTTTAGATAAAGAATGTTTGTGATGCAACAACCCACACAATGATCAAATGATGGTTGACCCACTCATGAAGTACGTATAACCTACCTATATTTATTGCTGAAGTTTCAATATTCACAGGAAATCACTAAGGGAATAGTGATATTGAAGTCAAGATAATAAACAATATCAGTGAAAAATCACTTGTTGGTCATGGGCAGAGATTTGTTTTGAAAGGTGGGGGGGGGGCAATCCACAAAATCTGAGGAATAGTACACCTAGATGGCTGGTAATGACACGCTTATAAGTAAAATACATCAACATGTACTCCAACTGTACAGCGACCTGGGTCATTTATGCAGTTCATTTCAACAATTTTCAGGCATCTTCTTGACTAAACTTACATTGCGGTCGAAGCGAATTTCTTTTAAAAAATGTTCCTCATCCAAATGAATGGAGGGGATGGAAGAAAGGATGAATATATCACAAACTGACCACACTAATTTATACTGGCAACACCTGTATTTTGTGCTCAAGAATTCATAATTATATGTATTCTCACCAAACAATAAACAAATTTAAACTCCCTAATAATTATTTTGAATAATTCACATGTTTGTAATACTCTTACTAGAAAGGCTAAGCTGATAACAGATTACAAGGGTACAGAATTCAGTTCGTAAGTAAATATTTGGAATGAGATTGTATCAAACTTCAAATAAAAAGTGTATGAATATTTGTTTACGTGTCCTTTATTCACTGTCATATAATACTTTAATACAATGGTTAATAATTATGGTTTAGTATTTCTATAGCAACTAAATGCCTTCTACAGTAAACAATATAAAATTGAAAGTTTCTTTGGATTATAACACACAATGGATTAAATTAAAGGAAATTCTGAAAATGCCTGTTGCTGGTTTTATTTTTTTACAGAGGGACTATCAACATCCTTTCATTTAACAAAGCTTATTAACAACAACAAAGCAGGATTTGTATAGCGCATAACTGAGGTCTCTATGTGCTAGAATGCAAAAAAATAAATAAATAACACTAACTACTCATTTTTTCACTAAAGGTGAAACTAGGCCCCGCAGGACACCATTGCGGTATTTCCGAGTAGAGGTTTTGGGGAAGTGATTTGCAAATAAAGTCAAGAATTAAAGAAAATTAAAAATATGAATTAATGAATGTCTCAGTGATAGATTTTAATAAATAATGTGTGTATATAATACTTTAGTTGTTATTATATCAAATTTTAAATATTATAAATAATTATACTTTGTGATGACTCGGTTATGATTATTAAATTTATATCTTCACTTTTTTATAATCAATTATTATTACATTCATTACACATTTACGCCTGACCAGTTAACTACAGTAAGCTTTTGGCATAGAGGTAATGATTTTGAGCATGAGGCTGGTCTAAATGCCCTTGGGCAAGGCACTTTGTCCATGTGTGTTTCTCTTCAGGTCCCCGGAGAAGATATGGTTACCTAGTAGGAAGTGAATGATGTGGAGTGAATCACTGTCATGGTCTGGTGCTGAGTGAGCCGCATGACTTGAGGTGTGCTAAGATTTGCTTCCTTATATTTTTGTACATTATTTATCAATATTCTTGTGTCATAAAAATATAATATGATTGCAAATAAAAGGGATGAAGAATAGACCTACTACTACAGTATAGACATTCATCACAACTTTTTTCAGGCCATTCAGGATCTCATGCTCAGACAACAAACCAATATTTTTCTCAGAACAATATTTTTACATCCGGTTACATACATACTACTGACTATTAGAATAGATTACTGTAATTATTTTAATAAACATTACTAAAATATTATCTTAGGCTACCAACTAATATTACTTGTGTATCCTTGATTTTCTTTACCATTACAATGGAACTTATCAGTTAGCAAATAACACACTGTACAAATCAGATAATAAACAGTGTAACTGTAATAAACATCTGTCCTTCTAGATGCATTTCTGATTAGCATTATGAACACCACCAAACAATGTAGAATAAACACCACCATATCAACAGTGTCTCATGATTGTCATCCAGCTCACATTTTTTGATTGCCTCACACTGGGCTGAAAATAAGTAAGTGAATGTGAGGCCTTTTGTGTGAGGCATGAACAATTTTTCTTGACATTTTTAAAATATTAATCATTTGAAATATTAATTATCTCCCTAATTATCATTCATCAACTGCTCAAATATTTAATTATAAAATTTATTATTAAAAATTGGCAATCATTTTACCACCATGTCTTTGACATCCTCCCATGTCTTTCACCAGCAGGAGTTGTGAACACATGAGGTAAGTAGATTTGCACATGTACAGTACCACAAACCATAAAGCACAGTTTGGTTTAAATTTACTGGTCATGTGACAAAACAGGTTGCAAAACTTTGGGTCACAATTATAAATAATGGCATATATACTGTACACAATTGTAAAAATCCAGACAGAGGGAATATATGCCCTCTGTCCTCCCGCTAATAAAGGTACTGCCAGTAATACACCCATATTTTTTTTTTTTTTAATGTAAAGATATACATCAATTATCAAACACAATGGTAGGCCAAAATATACAGTGTTTTGATTTGGAATAGAAACACAATTATTAGATTGCAGACCTATTAAAAATACAATAAAATTTCATTTTCATTTGGTTATAAATAATCAACTTTCACAAAATACACTACAGGCCATCAGTCTCTGTATTTCTTCTTATTTCATGTTGCATTTTTTAGTTGGCGCATTAATAAATATTTCATCCTCTCATTTGCATAATGCTCAATGTACCGTTATAAACCTTCGATGTGCATAGACTCTGTCAGAGAAAACGCTGCACGGCAGTTAATCACTGAAATCACTGAATGTAAATCTCAATTACTGTAGACGCGAAGAATTAAAATGAGAGACAGAAATTAGGTCATGAGATAGCAGCTTAGAAAACACAAGATTTTGAGATCCAATTTTATAGATTATATTTTGAAATAAGGTCTTCCTCCAATTAAAAGACCACTTTTGAGACCAGGGCTTTCATGGTCTTTTGCAACTTTGGTCTCTAATTAGAATAATAAAGATAAAAAATACATACTCCAAGTATCAAAATGCATGCCATCATGCATTTAGATACTTGTGGTATGTATTATCCCTGTCTCTTATACACATCTAGATGTGTATAAGAGCCAGCAAAAAGAAGAGCCCAAATTATTATTTTTTGTCTGTCAGTCAATTATTTTCAGAACACTGAATCTGAACACTGAATTTTTAACATAATATTTCAGTTTCTATTAGAAATTGCATTGAAGTTAAAAAAAAAAGAAATCAAAACAATAAAAATTGAGACAGCAGAGGATGGGAAAAAGAAACTAAATTTGTAACGTCGCCTAATTGCCAGAATATTTTGGAGTTACACGTCCCCCTCTGATTAAAGATCTCCCAATTAAAGAAACACCTCCAAATAAAGATCACTTTTCCGTGATTCAATGTCTTTTTCTTTAATTATTCTAATTAGAGACCAAAGCTGCTAAATGCAATGGAAACTCCGGTCCTAAAAATGGTGTTTAATTGGAGGGAGTCTTGTAGTTCTGAAGGGGAAAAAAAGCTTGCTACCTGCTTGATTACATATACATAGAGTACAAGGGGTGTATCCAGAATTTTTCAACCGGGGGTGGGGCTGGGTCACATAATATATTCAGTTTAGTTAAGTGAGTAGTGCTAATTTCAATATTTGCATTGGAATTCAATGGAAAAATAGGGAAGCATGTGCCCCCTGAGCCCTCCCCCCCCCCTTACTGGATCTGTGCCTGCAGTACAGTATGTAAACAATTAGCAAAACAAGTGACAGTTCCAGTGAAAGCAATACTGTAGTGTTAATAAATAACTTAAGTAACAACAAAGCTAAAGTATAGTACATTGAATGTGTTGCATACACTCTTTGTCTTTAAGTGTACAATTATCTCATATTTCTTTAATGTAGGTACTTTTACGTACATTTTATTACATTGCATATTAAATGCAGCTTTTCATTGCATTCATCATATCAATTGCACGAACAGTATAGAATCAATACAATCCAAGAGGACATATGAAACTCCACAATGTTTCCATTTTATGAACAAAAAAACATCAATATAATATCTTATTGCCTGTGATCATATTTTCCTTGATATTTTGCAGTCCGATTACTTTCCTAACTCTAAATTTCAATTTAAGTTTCTGTTTTTCTTTAATTAGTCAACATAAAGTTAAGACAACTACAGTATAATGAATCATTATGTGATGCTCTGTCTCTTCATGAGGCTTTCTTAGGCTCTGTACAGACTACTGTATCACCACCAATCTTTTGTGATGTGTCCATACAGTACATGTGCATCATGGTGTCATATTACACCCAAATATGGGCATATCACAATTATTTTTCGTATAAAAATTTGACAGTGTGGACAAAGCTCTTGGCAGCAATGCCGTATTCGACTGGTCATTCTTTGTTAAACTACCACCACCTGTGCAGTACAGTACTAATAAAATCCTACTTAACGAAGACTACCAGTCGAAATAGAAAACTGTAAGTACTTGATAAAACAAAATGGCTGCATAGTTACCACGATACACGCTGTCTAATCAAGATTGCTTCAGCTTTGGCAGTATGAGTTTTTCGTAAAAAAATGTTTTCATCCAGTTTTTGAATTCTGTTAGCCTACAATTATTTTTTTGACTTCATGTGGGTAAATATTATAATTTTTATTTTCTGAAATTCAATCTAAATTATATTAATGAAAATTTTGTTTCTAAACTTACCAATCGGCCATACTGTATTTGTTATGGTCAAGTGGATAACTTAACACTGATTGACACTATGGTTTACGTTAATTTTCGTTGTCAACAAAGTCTATTTTAGGAACCAGTCAAAGGACGATAATACTCAATGAAAACCGTAGTCAACGGAATGAACTAGTTGAACAAACCCATTATTTAAATCCAGGACCCTCGGAGTGAAATGTAAACAGCTAAAGGTCTACAACATTGCATTAAACAGTACATAAGCAAGGTATCTTACGAGATAATGATTAAAATGATGTATTAAAAAGTAGGTTGGGGGAATTAACAAAGTACAAGATTTGCATCTGGCTAATCTCACAGGGTTTTAACATCCCTCATTTGTTAGCCACATGTTCTTGTTTATTTCAGCCCCAGTTACTGTGAACATGAGGTTCCGTGTACTATAAGCGCTTCTGTATGGACGCTTTTAGTAAAAAACCATGCCTGCACACAATACTGCACAAGGACGCTTATTTACCTGGTTATTCGGTACCTGGATGCAAACTCTGTAAACTTTCCGAGGTTTTTTTTTTTATCATATGACTAACAACTCAACTTCTCATATTATAAGCATTATAACGAGACAACACAGTAAAGTATAATTTGACACTAAATGTTGATATCATATGCGACGGAAATTATTATTAAATGATAATACTTTAATACTAGATCTATTACTTACTTTGTAATGCTTTTTCATAGATTTTTCCAAAATGTAAAAGTTCCCTCAACTCAGGGTATAATCCTTCAATAAGACCCTGAAGAAAAGACAAAAAAAATATTTTCATTTCTTTATTTAAATTTGTATAAAATGGCACATGAAATTATGCATATAAACCATAGGAATCTAATTATGATTATTCAAAATATTGAATAACTTGTAAATACTGCAGAAAATTTCTAACTGATTATGATCATTTTTTAATTAGACGATTAAATATCCTTTCCAGTTCCAGGGGTGGCCACAATTTTCGGGGGCCTCGTCCCCTGACCACTTTACCACGTAAAATGTAAAAGTAAGAAAATTAACCACTGTTTGCATTGTTATTAATATTAGGCAACAAAAAATGTTTCTTAGCCAGGCTTTCTTTCTTCATAAAGATAGCCACCTACACAAAACAGCCATATCTAAGCCTTGATACCAGGCCCAGTAAACACACAAACACATATAACCAATATTTGTAGTCCACACATCGCTATCAAATTTTCTGTGAAAAATATGCAAGATTTACTAAATGTGGACATGATAATGTCATAACACACCTCATTAGGTCAAACCAGAGATAATAATCCATTAAAGCTTCATAGTGAGAACAAAGGTTAAGATTTGGAGTTCTGCTAGACAGGTGACAGCATGAATTTTGACCGCAGCCCATAACAAAAATAAGCATACAGTATTTATTGGAATAAACGCCCCACTTTGAATAAACGACCACCTTGAATAAACACCCCCTACAGAGCCTTATTTGGAATAAATGCTTGCCTCAATTAAATGCCCTTGGGCGTTTATTTTTCCCTCAAATGAACGCTCCCTAAATGATTGTTAAAAACACATTCTATAATATTCTACTCCATAAACTCCAATCAAATTAAATTTTGTCTAACCTGGCTGGGATCAATTTTAGTCTTTATGATCACAAAATAACACAATTTAATGGTAATTATGTGTTGTACAATTCCACATTTAAGGGGCGTTTATTTGAGAATATGCATCCCTCAAATAAACACCTGCCTTGCACAAACGCTCACCAAAAACCCTTCTCAACAGGGTGTTTAATCGAATGAATATAATAATGGCCTTCAGAAGTTTATTCCTACCTAGTGTAATTAGGTCATATAATGAGGAATTTGTTAGGTAAGTCTTGTCTGTAAGAAATGTTACCGACTTTTGTATTAACTTTACTTATGAAATTGTTTGTGGTATGTTTTTATACAACACCTATATATTCTATTAATTTGATTGCTTAAAAACAAGTCACGTGAGATTGATTTAAAAGGAATATCCCACTGTTATTTGAGTACTAGTCTAGATCGTTGAATAGTACGTTTTCATCTCCAAGACAACAAAAATCTCAAATGCAATGCGACATGAGCGAAAGAAAAATTAGCCTAGCGTAGTTACAACCTGCGTGTCATGTGAACAAGGAGTCGATCATTTAGTAGCCCTTGCTCCGCCGATAAAATGGCAGGTCCACATGGGTCATATTTTTGAGCAAAGAAGATTTTAAGGAAATACTGAATGAAAGTGTTACTAAATCAAAAAAAAAGGGGGCAATAAAATATGCATTAACTCACCAAGACCCTGTGTGAGTAAAGAAGATATGACGAAGATTTTGCTTTCGTTAAATATAGCAGCCTAGGCCTACATTCGAAGGCCGACATACAGGACAAGTTATTTATTGATACATGGAGAGAGATACAGAGGTGTTGTACAAAACAAATAATGAATGTTTCTCATTCGTACAATGGGGTAGAATAATGAATGTTTCTCATTCGTACAATGGGGTAGAATATTTCATTGGAATGGATGTTCTATTTAACTTGGCTACGCCTCGAACATCCAATCTTTAACCTCATGAAATATTCTACCCCACTGCACTCATTAACATTCATTATTTGTATAATATTACCAAGGAAATCATTTCATGTGCTTGATATGACGAATAAAGATGAATCTGAATCTGAACCTTGGGAACATACTGTACATCTATCCCTCAAATTCTACCATCAAAAATTATCATATATTTTGTCACATACGTACAGTAGGCCACTGCAAGTACGTGCCATAATTCACAGACTACCAACTATTTCCTGGTCATAACTGACCACAACTCCTAATTGGGGCCGTTCAGTCCAATTCAAACAGGATATTGGTGTTTGTGGACGGGAATTTTGTAGATCCCTGTGTCCGTTTTATGCAGTCTCTTAAGGATGGGCACGCTTCCTCATCCACATTGATAATAAACATAATAGTGTGATGCCACAAAAAATGAGATACCATAATTAAAATTCTAAAAAGAAACATTTCACACTAAGTCAAAATCGTGTAGCAATGTGTACTGTGGGTCAATGTCATGATGTAAAGGTCAATGTTAAGTGTAGTAGACAGCAGTATAGTAAAAAAATCCTGCTATGAGATTGAAAAAAGTTCAAGGTATTTGAGGTCAATAATTTTTGGAAGAAAATTATTGCGATTATGTCAAATTTCTATAACACTGAAATCAATTTCAAGCCTATTATCTTGGGATGTCAAAATAAGCTCGCTAATTAGTTGGTATCCAGAGGGGCATTCAGCTATTTACAAGAGGAAAATGCTCTCAGAAAACGACCAGTGGGGCAGTAGATCTCTATTTGCTCTATTCATTGCTGAGTTTGAAAGGAGGCTCTGGTGCAAAAATAAGATATTTGGATCTTTTGCATCTAGGGATTTTTGCATTTGGGTGATTTGTTAGATACATGTCAAAACATTTTCATATTAAGCATTTGGATTTATCAATGAATGAAAATCATGGCTAACGATATTTTGTAGGGATGATTTAAATCCTTGTTTACAAAGCTTAAAGTTACATTTTCTTTGAAAATGACTGAGAATCTTGTGGATCGCTTTAGATTCAACTTGTATACAGAATAGACCGAATCGGCGCTCAGGTCACGTGACTTATAGTGGGTATTAGGGTTTACATAGCCTATCGAGATCACAAATACATTTTCTTTAAAAAACTATTAAATTAAACCAGATTTCTAGCCAAATATAAACAGTCCCTCCCTCATCGATAAAAACAAAAGCGAAATAATCTATTTTTCCGAAAAAAAAAAAAAGACACCGCCCTCCCTAATCATTTTTTTTTTTTTTTTTAAAAGAGTGATAATCTTAATAATTTTTTCTATGTGCCCTTAAGTGAAATGTTTCTGTAAATTTTTAGCTGTAATTTTACAGATAAATGTTTGGGAGGTTCTGGTCTCATGGCTATATAAAAAAAGGAAAAATAATGACATTAACTTTTTTTTAAATTGCATTTACTGAAGTTATTTGCATCACTGATTTTCTTTTTTTTTTTTGTATAATATGATGTATTTTTGATAAATAAAAGTGGTGGTTACACCACAAAAGACAAGAAGAGAGAAAAAAATAAATGTTAAAGGTTAAAGATGCAATTGACTACTGAAGACAATATATGAATGAATGAAAAGTTAAGCCTGGTTGTCTTTTTGTCTAGGACTACCATTCCCTTTTCTCTTCTGCACTGCTCTCTTCTTAACTCTCTCTAGGAATCTCCTCTTGCTCTCTCTTCCATTTCTCTTAAAATTTTACTTTATACTTTACTGTGCATCATGCAAGAAGATTCAAGATTTCTTCTATTCGTCATAATCTTTAAAAGTTCATAACACACATTAAGTTCATTTTACAGAAAATTATTTAAAAAAATTAAAATATAAAAACAGTATTACCATAAATGAATATTACAAAACAAAGGTTACAATTAATAAATACTTAAAATACATACAAATATTACAGTAGTCAAGTATATTGCGTTGGGTCCACGTCTTTGCGTGCATTCTTCGTCGTGTCGCTGTAGCACGCAGTGAGTAACTGGCTTTAAGCAAAGCTTGGCTAGGCCTAGCCTAGGCAACAATCAATTGTTTTTGTAAAAATAAAAAAAATTTTTTTTAAATATTAATTATTGTTCAAATCTCCAAATTGTTTCTCCATTCATAGAAAGAAATATAAATTTATATTTTTGTATATGAATTATCTAGGGAGGTAATTTATTATAACTTCAGCTAACAAATGAAAGGGCATTCACGTCTTCTTCAGAATCTTGGGCCTACAGTCAAGAAGTAATTAGGGACGGGTCTAGTAGCACATCCCTAAGGCTGCTCCTCTCCTCCTGAATAACGAAGTCGTATGGTCGTCAGTCTCTTTTTTTTTCTGGTTAGCCTAGCCTACCATAGGCCTACGTAAAATATACATTAACTTACCCGATAGACATTTTCAGTCATTTTATGTATTTGATCGCTAGACATACTGGAAGTCATTTTGTGTACTTTTTTAAAAGTTAGACCTGTTCAAATTTCATTATAATGAATAAACCGCCTTTGTCTTCGAACGCCTATCCTTTCAGCCTTGAATAGGTTTTCTGAATGCAGAAGATAGCAAATTCCCAGGGCCACCTATTGGCGCATGGATGGGGCGAAAGTGAGCAAAAGAGGGCGCCATTACAATTAATTGTAGTTTCTGTTGTGTTGCGGAACTTGCGAAATGGTATATGAAACCATGTCTAAAAAAAGAGTGAAATCTTTTTGTCTGAAAGTTTAACTCATTAAAATGGCATCGGAGTTGACAGACACAGGGGAATTGTATTCTCCGTTGGTAAGTTCATTTGATTGGGCTTGAGTAGTCCCCATAGATTCAAGGGCTAGCTAGAGCCTAGGCCTAGGCTAGGGCAAGCCTGCCCTCTTTTTTGCCTACAACTAGGAATAAGGCCTAGGCCTAAAGTCGATTAAGGCCAAAAGTAAGTACAGTAAGTATAATAGGGCCTAGCTAGGACAGGCCTCAAAGCAGAGCCAACCTTGCTAACCTCATAGGCCTAGGCCTAGAGGCCCTATGCCTAGTCCTAATTTCCTAGGCCTAGTTAGCCCTTTAAAATTGTTTAGGCCTAGGCTATATTATTCTAGTTAGGCCTAAGTTACAGTATACTGTCATTTTATTTATTCTTGTGTATTTATTCTTGTACTCAAATGTATTATTGTATTGTGTTATTTTATAATTAAATTTTAAGTTCATTACCTAATTTTTCCAGTTTTAGTAATTTTAAATTTTGTATTAATTATGTTTAAAATAGTATTAATTGTACAGTATTTAAGTGACTCATTGACATTGTATTGTATTTAATAAGTTGAACGCATACCCATAAGTGCATCCGATCTAAAGGCGTATGTTATTCTTTCCTTACCAGGTGGGTTTGGTGTACATCTTTAATCTTATCGTTGGCACTGGTGCTTTGGCTTTACCAAAGGCCTTTGGAGAAGGTGGATGGGTTATCAGTACTTTAGTAATAGTGATGCTAGCCTTTATGAGGTGAGTTAACATGATATACAGTACTTACTCACAAGCTGCTATCATTAATAACACCTACACTGTAAAATAAAGCCTGTGAGGGGAATATATCCGCAAAAAAATTTGGCCTAGAAATCTTGTCCACACATTTCAGAATATAAGGGCCGATTTCCGTGCAGATTTTCACGATAAATTAGGGTTCAACCTTTTCCCAAATTTCCCGGAGTATGCTTTGGTGGGTTTCTCATGGAAGAATCTGTGTCCAGATTATCAACATTTTTTTTTGATAAAAAACTGTTTTATGCCCATATATAGTCATGATGTGATGTCACCATGACCATTACAGGCATGTCACATGTGTTGGTCAATAAAATTTAAGTCTGTATAGGACTTTATCTAATCAATATTTTCACAGTAATTGGTATGTCACAGTCAACTAACCAGATGCCACAGATCACTTAATTTCACTGTTAATAAACTTTTAATGTCCATTATTAAAAACTTTCTAATTTTCTATTAGTTTTCTGACTGTGACCTTTGTGGTTGAAGTAATGGCAGCGTCCAATGCCTTGATTCGATACCGAAGGAAAGAGAAAAAGAAAGAGGTAAGTTTTCATTGTATTGGCCAATTCTTATGTTAATTAATAATGTTGAACCCAATATGCTATACTACAGGAAACAACTTAAGGTATTTTGTACAAATTTACTTCCTTAATTCTTAAGTGTTAAAACATAACAAATATAAAGCCTACGAAAATTTTTCACATTAAAAATAATCATAATGTGCTGTATACAGCTTCATCATAGTCTTTAGAATGTTTAGGATGATGAAGAATAATAATAACATGTAAAGAATATTATCTAACTGTATAATCAAATTATCAAATATATGTACAAAATATTATACTTTTTTCTTGTATTCATGTTGGAATAATTGATAATAAAGAGTCTTTGCAAGCTTACGTAAACGATGACGAATACGGTTACGTTATCAAATTTTTAGACAACCCTTTGCCTACAGTAGCATATCTGACACAATGTAGGCGATTCATGCCCTTTGCATGAATCATGGATCATAATCAGCTTGTACAGAATTTTCTCAATGATGTTTTTTTTAGGCACGAATGACTATAATGTTAATGACCTATTCATTTTCGTAAGGTTGCGTAACCTCTCAATTGTCATATCGTTCTTATGTACCGGCAAATCGTAGCTATTTCTCAAATGAAACTTGTGGACAGACATGTACCTATTTTCCTCTGCTTTCATTTTTTGTTTTTTGTTTTTTTTTTTATAAAATAATACAGAAAATAACTAACAAATAATCATTATTATTATTATTGTTTGCATTTATTAGCTTGAAGACTCTACTTCCAATTCAAGCGACGATGTGGAGGATTTGATGCGAGATTCAGATAACGAGGCCAAGCAGAGACTATTAAAGGACCAGGACACATTAGTCAAGTATTCCAATGTTAACGCTGGACGTGAGTCCCTTTAACTTTCATATAATTATTAACATGTTGAGTCATGTCGGGCAGTGGTATGGCTATGAGGTTCCAATGGAGAGTCAGGCTCGAGAATGAGGCTGGTCAATAGACACATTTCGCTAGGTTGGTCATGTGACGCAAAGAGGGTATCAATTGTAAACAGGCAGCACGAGACTGACGCTCGGTAATAGGAAAACGCCTAGCTTCTTTGGAGTGCTGTAAACAAACCTCATGGAATGTGTCTAATTGTTTTCTTAGGCTGTGTGCTTTATGCTGTCTCTCTCCACCTAGGTTTAAGCAACGAAATTGCATTTTCATAATGTGAGAAAGTTAGTCTCATAATGTGTTTACACATTAGGAGAGCAAGCACTGATTCTTGGGGTCTTTAAGCCCTATTCAGACTGTAACATGCCTAAATATGGTCATGATGACATCACATCATGACTATATATGGGTATGCAACAGTTTGTGGTCAAAGAAAACTTTATAATCTGGACAAGGATTAACAATGGCTATAAGAACTAATTTGTATTACATAGCTATGTATTCCTGTAGGTCTGTTCGAAATTTTCATAGTGATGGTTATGCACTAAAAGGCCAAAAATAAAATTTATATATATTTATTTGGGAAATCATAATCAGTAGGCATTCATCATCAGCAGGCAGCAAGTTTGGGAAACATGTTATGAAATAAATCTCCTCAAAGCCTTATATTAATGGCACTTAGTTACCAAGCCTTACCGCTATGCTGTATGAAACACTATAAACACCAATTATGTGAACATTGTTTTTATTTCCCTTTCAGGTATATGCCGATCTCATACAGATTTCTTTGAAATCACAGAGCGAGTTGAAATGGGTCAAATGGTGTCACTCTTCTTCAATAAAGGTGTGTATTCCACAAAGATACTCTTGGGATACTGATAATTTATTATTAATGGTTAAACTTCAATTTTATGTTTTAACAAGAACTTTCCTGCATTCCATATATTTTGTGTTTGCAAGTTTGTTCTATTTATTATTTTTAGCAATATGGAAAATTCTGAATAATATTTTAAATTTTTTTTTTGTATTTCAGTTGGTAAAGTTGTATTTTACATTTGCCTGGTGGTGTATTTGTATGGCGATCTGGCCATCTACGCCGTTGCCGTACCAAAATCACTGATGAATGTTACCTGGTGAGGATTTGATGTTAGGAATAGATATGTTAAAAAGGGATCAGCTCCTTTCACTCTTCCAGAAAAATAATTCACCAAGACTGGGATGTTTATTCGAATAAATACATCATTATTATTTTTCAGGCATTTTGTTTTATTAATTTGGGGTTTAATTATCTTTCAGTAACATCAATGGTGATGATGATAAGGCGGAATGCTGGAAGGGGCATACCATCAGTAAAATCAATGTTTATAGAATATATCTTGTAAGTAGGCCTATGTATATTCTTATGTTTTCTAATGTAATGTAGTTAGATTTATATAGCGCTTTATACTGAAATGGTCTCAAAGCACTCAAGCTGTGGACTAGCTCGCACAGTAACTTGCTTCTTCCTAAGGGTCTCTTCATTTCTGAGCTGCCCAGTAAGCCAGTACCCACCAGCTACACTTGTCCATCTACAACAGGGGCTGAGTGGACCAGTACATCGGGGTAACCCCCCCCCCCTTCATCTCAAAAGATGTACTGTGTTCTTTAAAGTGCACATGAGCCAAATTGTGTACACGAGACCTGCCTATGATTTATAGTCACCCTTGCCATGGATCGTGGTGCTTGGAGAAATCTTATGGTCGCATGTTCTACAGACGAATGAATGATGATGATCCGAGAACCATAGGCGAGAATGCCATTCAATCCAGCTCTGATATTATGGCTGTAAGTTGCAGTGCCCCTGCCTTAACTGCTCAGCTATCCAATTTGCCATGTACTGTATTTAAAATTGTTATAGCGCATAATGCCAAAATCTATATAAAACCCAATATCACAAGTTAATGTTTTTGGAAAATGAAAGTGTTTTTTTTCAGTTACGAATACTGCACTGATACTTCCATTTCAATAGCTCTTGATACATTGTAGAAAATAGACAGGGAAAGAAATTAGCATAAAACTATATAAAGCTAATTAAATATGAAATATATTTGTTTAAGTGTTGACCTAAACCACAAACTATCTCATGAATATTCATCTTTACAACAATGGACCATCCTCTCAGAACATATGAAAAGCTGACCTCATCATGACACCCCCATTTTGAATGTTTCTACCCATACATTTTAACAGGCATAATATTTGCTATCTACTTATATCTTTCAGACACTGTTTACACTCATTCTAGGGCCGTTTGTGTTCTTCAACGTGCAAAAAACAAAATACTTACAGTATTTTACAACTGTTATGCGCTGGTTTGGTAAGCTCCCATTTTGAACTCGCTTCGATATTTAATATGCAAATTCAAATTTGTCTATTGTCAATTTACACACGAGTCAAACTTCATCCATCTGCTAAGTTAAGATTAACAAGGTCTTGTAATCTCGAAAGCTCTGATGAGGGCAGTGTAAATATACTCTATATTGGCCCTAATGGCTGCCCATACAGAAATGATCTATTGATCAATCAGTAAAAAAGATCAATCTGTCCGCTGCGTATTAGAGCTCCTCATCGGAGCTAAACAATCTTTTAATCAGCCGAGTGTTTCTAGAGCTTCTCATCGGAGCTAATAATAATAATAATTGGCCCTAATTGTCGCCCATACAAAAAAGATCCATTAATCAATCAGACGGGTATTTCTAGAGCTCCTCAATTAACCAAGTGTTTCTAGATCTTCTCGTCGGATCTAATGGCCCTAACAGCTGCCCATACAAAAAGGGAATGAAAAAAAATTATTAATCAATCAGCCGGGTATTCCTAGAGCTCCTCATCGGAGCTAAAACAACATTCACTCTACGTTTGTGGTTGGCTGTTTGAAAGACTCAGCTTCATAATATTCTAATAAATTTTAATGTACTTATGATGCAATTCTTTTCAACCCCATGTTTTAGGCGACAAAACTTTTCACGCTCAATAACAACTTAACATATTAAGCTTCATGATAAAACTTACTTTGTAGGGCAGCAAATACTGCAATTCCATTCTCTGATTTGGAATTTAATCTGAAGCTCAATGAGAACACCAAATCTATGATATTATAACTTAAAAAACCAAATATTATAATAAAAAAATTAACTCATTAACTTGTATCGATCTTTGGCCCACAGCATTCTGTACAATGATCATTGCAGCATTGGTTGCCATCGCAAATGGGAAAGGAGAAGGCCACCCAAGCAAATTCAGTAGCATTACAAACGTTGCGAACCTTTTTGGCGTTTCTATCTACTCGTTCATGTGCCACCACTCACTACCGTCACTCGTCTCACCGATACGGAACAAGACTAAACTCACAAAACTGTTCGCATTTGATTATATTCTTATTCTCTCGTTCTACGTATTCTTATGTATGACTGCGATTTTTTGCTTTGCAACGATTGAAGACCTCTACACGTTGAACTTCTCGGATAATACGGTGATGCCGATTAAATTCTTTCAGTACTTCTTAGGTTTGTTCCCTGTGTTCACACTGAGTGCAAGTTTCCCAATTATAGCCATCACTCTCCGTAATAATCTTCAGACGTTATTCTCGCGGACTGGCCAACCACGTCCCTGGATGATCAATCGCATTGGATTCCCGTTACTGACGATCATACCGCCAATTATTGTTGCATTTGTGACGATGAACGTAGAGTTCCTCGTCAGCTTTACCGGATCTTACGCTGGTGCAACAATTCAATATGTATTTCCATCGCTACTTGTGTACTACTGCAGGAAAAAGACAAATCGATATCTAGGGGAGCAGAATTATCACAAGCATACTTCACCATTTAAAAGCACACTGTGGATCGTATTTGTTAACATATGGACTGTTATCTGTATTGTTTTAGTCACCTATTATCATATTAGTAGAAAACAGTAACAATTTTTGAAGAATCAAACATAGTTTATATTAATTATCATTGTTTATATTGTCACCAGAATAAATGATTATGTTTTAAAAATTAGCCGATAATATATACGGATATTAAAAGCAATGTAACTTAATATTTTTAATACTTCTTTATTTGTCTTTCAACTTGAACTTGAAAATTTGGGCTGGAGACCCACGGCAGCTGCAGCGCAGCGCCACCCAACTTAACTATAACATGTAACGAAAACGTATGGATAAAAACATCTTCAGTATCAATATGAGGGTTATTCAAGAAGCAAAGTGATCAGGTTCCAATTAAAACCTGACGCTGATCGGGTTTCAACCAAGTCTTTAGCACAAACAGGAACAATACCTCTCAGCCAACCACTGACATATAATATGTTACGTTACACGTTTGAGAAATGACAATTCTCGATTAGCTGGTACCGCAGCATAATAATGATGTTTAAAAAATATGCCAAGTACCGACAAACATTAAAATGGGCCTACTGTAGGCATGTCTAGTCTAGAAGTTCTTGCAATAAATTATATCAAACCTAGTGTTGTATCTTATATTATATTTTCTGTTATATTAAGTGAAGATTTATATAGCATGGTGGTATTTGTACCGCCTTGCATGCCTAGATACACTTGGAGACTTTCATTTCTTTTCCCATTACAAAATGCTATTTCTGCTAATTTGTAAATGTGGCCACATCAAATAAATATTGAAATGATGCACAGGCAATAATGCAAGCATGTAGCAACAGGCATTAATTGCTTAGGAACAATCAAATTAATTAAGAAAGCAGGAATTATATAAGAATAAGATAACAAAGATGTCACGATTGACATATTATAGTAAAGAATAACAGCTGTAGATAAAGAATGACACAGTAGTTCATTTTTTCTTATGTTCCCAATATTTTATTGGTTTAAAATCAACTAAAATTTAGATTGTCCAGGACCCACAATGTAGCCAAATATTAGTGGTCCTAATAAGGAAATCCATGATGATAGAAATAATACACCTAATACTTGTTCCAGCATAACATTAATCTACCTGAAAATTTTTTATTTTTTATAATGCAATTGAAACATAGACACATATTATATTATTTGTTTTATACTTTGGTAGGCATTTTGTACAGGGACGTGTTCCCCGTGCCTACTTTATGTGGACAAAGATAAAATTATAAAAATGTATGTATAAAGAGTGTATTTGTTGTTATGGTGGTTAAAATTTTTAGTTCTGAAGCCTCTTTTCCACTCTGCGAATTTATTCACACAAATCAAAAGCGTCAAGTATCATTTTGCTTTCCGAGCTCCGATTGGTTGCGCATTTTTTCGCCTTGAAACGTAGATAGAAAATATGAATACGCATGAACTGGCAGCTGTCTAATGGAAAATAGGCTTTATGTACTAACATCTCAAAAAATCAGTGTATGCCCGAAACTAAAGCTTTCTAATTTCAGAGGGAGCAGCTTACCCCAGCTGGCTAAACTGGTGGTCAAATGAAATGGCCACTGCCTTGCAGCTGAATCTTGGAGGGTATGGAACATTACCAGGAGAGATAGTCCAGTCAATTTGCTAGTTTTTTGTCGTAGTTTAACTGGACTAAAGTGTTGCTGCCTTGCAGACTGGATTGCGATAACTTGATTTATAGACCTCAAATACTATACATCATTTAAAAAATCATTTATTTTACATATATTCATATGTACTTTTCAGTTGATACACAGATATTCTATTTACATTTTGTACAATGCTTAATGTCCAAATTTGACCTTTCACCTCTTATCAGATAGTGCACTTCTCGGTGTGGTCAAACTTTTCTGTAGTGGTTTTTGAGGTGGTGAACTGTGTACTCTGCCGTGGCGTAATAAAAACTCGCTGCCGCGTCGATTCCTCTCATCATCTGGAACTGGAGTCTCATGTACTCTCCAGAAGTTCTCGACTTTCCTCCGGATATCTTCATTCTCATCACGAAGTTCTTTCTGCCATACACGTAGCTCTTGCACTTCTTCTTGCCTGCGAACCTGTGGCAGGAATTAAAACAACAATTTAACAGATTGTAAACATTAATCATGGCATTACATCCAAGCAGATGGTACGGTGGTTGTTATTGGTCAATTGTTAAGTTTGATAGACACTCCAGAAAGATCCAATAAATTATGTCTGGTTCTACCAGAGATCCAAGGATTATACCTTAAGTTCTAATAACATACCAGATATCCTCTCCAGAAAGACTGAATGACGATGGCAGCTTCCTCTTCTGTCCATATCAAAGACAATGGCAGGGCTGGTCTTGGGCTGTCAATTAAACACAATACATATAATACATTATAATTCACACTATATTACTGTATTTTTATATTTAAATTTACTTATAATTACTTACGTTCCTATAATCAAGCACTGTTATCAATATTTATCTACTTGTTTATACTGTGTTTGCTGTCCATACGTACTCAAGTAAACCAAATTTGAATATTGATAAAATTAATAAATGCATTATATAATATTCATATACTTGTATTATATTTTCTTTATTTTTTTACAATGTATTATAATTATTATTATTATTGCTTACCATTCTGCTAAGATTTTATGAACAAAGGGGATATCATCAAGGTTATCATTTTCACGCCCAAATTTGTACGGATTATGCCTAAAAAGGAATAAAAAGTTATTTAAAGTATTCATATTGTAATCAAATGCAGTCACAGGTTTCACTCAGCAAATTTGTATTTACTGTACAGTTTCAGAGAAATTTTAGGGGAGACTTTTTCAAACATTGTTTAGCGAACCCGCCGCCTGACAATAATGATGATTTCAAATAAATATAAAATTTTATTTTTGGCTAATTAGACTACTAACGGCCACAAAAATATGGCAATTTCGAAAAAAATTAAAGTTTTTCTTTATTTTTATTAAGCCTGCTGCTGCCTTCAAATCTCCAAAAATAAGATACAGTATGTATATTTCTTCCTAATTACATAGATTTAAAGCATTTAACCATCACATTACTACTGTTTGCATTCACGAATAAAATTCTATTTTTATTTTCTCCTTTATCTAGATGTTTTTGGCAAAATTATTTGCTAAATAAGAAAACTAATTTTTTTTTCTTGCCCTCCACTGACGATCGTTAAAAAAATAAGTTTGTGAAACAAGGTATTAAAAATGTCTTGTTTCTTTGGTAGTAATAACAATGATGATGATAATGATAAATTATTATTAATAATAATATCATAATAATAACAATAATAATATACAGGAATAATGTTAGAAAATGATATCACTCATAAAAATGATTAATGATAAAAGTAAAATGAAAATCAAAAATATTACTAACTTCCAAAGGTATTCTGTCAAGAAATCGCATCCATTAAATCGAAATCGTTTTCGCTACAAAAATAGAATAACACCTTGTTATAACAATCTGTTATGTGGTATGTACTGTACTGCAAATCTTTAATTATGTATGAAGAAACCTTACACAAAACACTACACATTTCTAAATTTACCTCAAAACATCTTTCCTTTTTAGCTTGTTTCAGCATTTCTAGCATTCCTTGCAACAACACAGGAAATATATATCCTTCCAGATATTCTCTTGGAGTACCTGTAAATATATATGAACTCATAAATATAGTAAGTACAGCCTAACATTTAAATATGCACTGTCCTTAGTGGTCCGTTTATGTAGGCAGTGGTACACCTGCCAACTCTCACGCATGAGCGTCCACTTTTTACATCTCACGGCTAAGCTTTATAATCTCGTGCATTATAAAATCTTATAAAAGATAGAATGCGTAGGCCGATTAAACCCTAAAATTCATAAAAATTAAGTGAATTCATCATTAAAATGTGAATACAGGCCACATAAATTTCTATACCGACCGATGACTATAATCAGTAGCGGTTCCACCGCTACAATTTAAAAAAAATAACATAGAGTTCGCTTTATTTCGCGATTTTACATAGAGGGCGCTATATAAAAATTTTATTTATTTTTTGTCTCACACATCAGACACCAACAAAGTTAGGGTATACGGTGGTTTTTGGTACACTGCAGTCTTATTTTGTAATTTTGATTGGATGTTTGCATTCATGCAATAACAACATTCCATTAATATTAGGAATTCGTTTCAGACTGGTGTAATAATAGCCAGCCTTTTTAGTAAGTGATTCAATTTTGTAATTACTTGAGATTTTAAACAGAAAATTCATAAATAAAATGTAAACTCATGCCATGTCAATAACAGGGAGCCAAAGTGAATGAATCAATGATTTATCATTTCAAAGTTCTCAAAATACTTTACATGTTTCTTTAGGTGGTAGCGGTGGTGGTGGTGGAGATGGCATTTTGGGGGGTTTTTCCAGTTCTGTATGCCCTACAAATGCAGGGTGAGATTTTGCAGGATCAAACTCGGCCACAACTTCTGAATCGACTGCAACTCGCTCCGCCATTCGCCCATACAAGACTGGTGTATGACACGAAGGGTCAAAGTCAATGATCTCTGTGGTGACAGATTCTGCATCATCATCGACTTCAAATGGAGGCCTCATTGCTGCAAACTCTGAAACATAAAGTAGCATTATGGACAACATTAAAAATGTAATAATTTACAATAGCTGAATTAATATTACAAATTTCATATATCAAACCAACAAAGAATTTAAAAGAAAAATAATTAAAATTACTGTGCAGCAAAAGTGATGATGCTGATGGCTCACTCACACAGGTTAACACTGATGATACAGCGAGTCCAACTGACAAAAGTATGTATACATACGTACGGGTACACTCAGGGAAGTGGGAGAGCCTAATAACAAGTCTAAGCCTAGCTACAGGATAGCCTAGGCCTAGCATAGGCCAGTGGCTCCAGCTTGCTCACTCTAGAAATGCAGGGAGGTGCTCCCGGACGCCGGTGGAGGTGCTGTTGTAAATAAACCAGGTAGGCCTACGGCGGGCCTAGCCTGGTAAAAAGAAACTTTTGAATATAATGTGCATATCATTTTAATAAACAGAATATATATATACCTTTGCATATTTCCTCCCACAAGTTTTGCTCTTGTCTTTTCCCGACAACTGCAGACATAATTAATTACAAAACAAAAGACTTCGGCTAAATTACTAAGTCCTGTTGCTAAGACGTTGTTGATGGTGTCGTCGCTCCGCCGCCGTCGATTACTTGGTCGACAGAGGGCGCTAACTTGTGTTCATTATTTTTACCTGTACCTCATCACGTATCGTGGAAAAACTTAGGCGACTAGTCAATACCACTGTATATTGATTGTTTATGTATTCTGAAATATTTAAAAAAGTTTAACTTAAACAAGGAGGTATAAAAATAAGAAATGACAAAACAAATTCGTTCGTTCTTCGTTCGTTCAGTCTATCAGTCGGTCAGTCTGTCGTTCGTGCGTGTGTTTGCTTAATGAAAGAAATGGATTTTAAAGGAATGCTGGATCAATTAAAAAATAAAATGTAATACTAAACGAAATGAAAAGAATGAATGAATGAATAAATAAATGACTAAACAAATGAATGAATGAATTAATTAATTAATGAACAAACGATCGAACGTACGAATGAAGAAATAAAAATTTACTTAATTAATAAATTAATTAACGGATAAAATACAACAAATAAACTGAGATTAAGATAATTTATCAATTATGTTCGTTCATTATAATTTGTTCATTCTTTCATCCGTTTATTCGTTTATATGTTCATTTGGTCATTCTTATTCATTCATTCATTCATTCATTATCCTTTTCCTTTCTTTTCTGATTTAATTGCATTTTATTCCATTCTATTTCATTTTAATACAGTTCAGTGTCCATTATAGGGCAAAAGAGATTCCTTTTCCCATCCCAGTAGGCCTCTGCCTATACCTAGTATAATATATATTACTGTACTAGTAGTAGTAGTATTAATTAGTTGCGTTGTCTGCGTTTTATTTAGCATGTCCGGCATGATAGTAGGCCTACAGTATTGTTCTTTAATAGAATAGCAGCAACTAATGGTGTTAGGCATTTAAAAAAAATGATTCTTTTACAACTGTTTCTTTCGAATAATAAATCCAATAGTGTAATAAGCATACTTGGCTTTGTACCATAGAAATCTTCATCCATGTTAAGCGATGCGTGTCGATAGCTGACTATCAGCTGCTAAGTGCATCGCGTTCACAACAGCATCACAACACCACTAAGCACTTCCCGTGACGTGTCCCGTTTAGGCCAATCAAAGCGGGCGTATTTTAATATTAGTCATTTGAGGCAGTCATCGCCAGTTTATACACTGTGTTGTGAATAATGGCGTTCAATTGTACAGTGTATATGGCCTAGGCCTAGATTGATAGCGTTGCTGAGACGAGCCATCGACGGCAACGAGCTTTTATTCGCCGCTAGCGAGGCATCACATAAACGGTAAGGCGTTGACTAGCGTAACTCCAAGTTTCGTCTACACTGGATGTATGGTGGCGTTTTACGAAACCGTGCCATATTTCTATCACTAATTTCATTTTGATATTTATTATCTTTTGCTTTGTTTCAGCATCTTTAATTTTTATATTGCATATTAGGCCTATGTATTGTAAATGTAGGCCATGTGTATGTATGTATATATATATATATATATGTCTCTTATACACATCTAGATGTGTATAAGAGACAGAGATGAAAGAGGATAGGGATGATAGACTATTTAAAGGATAAGAGGCCTTATGTTCAACATCTTGTTTCTATTTGAGCACTGTTATTATTACTTATCCATTTGTTTATACATATTGTGTTTACAGTCATACGTAGCTAGCCTAATTTGAATATTATTTACTATGACTTCCAAGATGCGACCTATATAAGCTTCAGTCGGTTGAATGAGAGAATGTGCCCGAGGGTTAAATCCGCACGTCCTTAGGTCTCCGTGGTCTAATGGATATGACACTCGTACTGACAGCGTGGGGTTGCAGGTTCGAATCCCGACAGATACCCCTTTTTCATACTAAATTGAAAGGAACTTTTCGTTGAAGGGTTATACGATTATAATATCTTGTTCCTATTTTGGGCACCGTTATTATTAGTTATCAATGTGTTTATTTGATTGACAGTGACACTGATGTAAAAGTGAAATGTCAAATAAATATTATTATTTATGAAGATATAGGCCTATCATGTATATTTTTCCTAAAACAAGAAGTCCTATTTTCTTTAGCTGTGGGTGGGAGTTTGGTTTGTGCCTAATTAACAGTACTGTGTACATCTTTTTTAGATGTCGTCTCACTTATATCTGTAAACCGTTTGGAGTAATGATGGATGCGTCATAAGCTAAAGATAAAAATGAACAATTTCTTCCAAAATAAGCCTACGAAATAGTATGATCTCCATGCTTAGAAAAAACTAAAAAGTCAACATTCTGTTACTCGCACATTTATTCAAGTGCAAAAAGCGTGGATGCCGTGTTGCTACAAAGAAAAAAAATAGAAAACAAAGATTCATTTCAATCAGTAGACACATCGCTCATCTCCTGTTGTATAAATACATACCGTACTTATTAGATTCTTTCATTTTTCGCGGGGTTCTCTATTTTTGACAATTGTTGTTGGTTTTTTTTTTAATGAACATTTAAATGAGCTTACGAAAACGATAACGAATACGGTTACGTCATCAAATTTATGAGAAAATCCCCTACAGTAGCATATTTTTCACCACGTAGGCGATTCATGCCTTTTGCATGAATCAGGTATCATATTCAGCTCATACAGCATATTGTCAAGAATGTTTTAGATATGAATGACGATAACGACTATGACGTATTCGTTATCGTTTTCGTAAAGTTGCGAAATCTCCCCATAATGACGAATGACGTGTTGTTACATCATATAGGTTTAACTACTATTATAACTGCTTTCAAAATATGATAAATCCTATTACTACAAAGGGGCCTAATTGATGCTTTTAAATAATGTAGCTATTTTTGTTACCCTAGAACATCGTATTTGAGAAAATATAATTAACAAGCTACCCTCCACAATGCCAGTTTTCAAAATATGGAGCAGAAGTCGACTGAAGAAAAAGTCAGTAGTAGCCAACACCATCTTGGAGCTGGTAGCAAAAGGTAAAGTACCTCAATAGGCATAGTCGGGAAGGGGGAGGCACTGACAGTGTGTGTGTGACATTTATCCCCTATGGTATTCCGATCATTCGTTAGTGGTGAGGGGTAGTCAAAGGTGGACTCGCTGGCATTCCTCTTGCTTTATGAGAACATTACTATGCATTCAGTCATGAACCTTCCCAGAGTGTCAAACTTAATAACTGCCCAACCAGAACAGCGTTAGGAATACGCGCGCCTCTCACAAACATTGGCCGTATTCGACTTGTCGTTTTCGTTAAACCACGCCCACTTGCGCAGTGGTAACATCCTACCACTACGAAAGACGAACAAATGGCTGCATAGTTACCGCGATACACGCTGCGTAATCAAGATTGGTTTGGAGCGGAAACGCGGTCCGAATCCGAGTGTGAATACAACTAACTTAATATAGCACAAGGTGTTTATCAAAGGCCAAAGGCCTGTTTACACTATGATTATGATGATGATCAACGATAAAAAGCTAAAAAGTAATTGTTCATATTTTTTGTAAAATAAATAAGAGAAGTTTTCACACTAGAACAAAACGATGTATCGTGTAGGCCTATGCGATAAAAAAAATAATTTAACAAATCAAATCAAATGGGAAACGATAAAATCGCTTTTACTACGATTTCTCGTTTTCTCATGATTATGACGTCATTTGATTTTATTTGTGAAAATATATTTTATCTTATACACAATAAATCGTTATCAAATCGTGCTAGTGTAAAAACTTCTTTTTAAATTTTCTTTTCAATTGCTTTTTAGCTTTTATCGTCATTGATCGTTATCGTCATAGTGTTAGCAGGCCTTTAAAGTGTGTTTTATTATAATTATTCTATAATTAAAGGAAAGAAGAAGCTAGATATTACTGGTTCAGTCACCGTTGTAATGGAAGAAGACGGAACTGAAGTTGACGATGATGAAGTACTAATGGAATTAAAAGGGACGCCTTTGATTTTCCTAAAGGAAGGGCAGCGGTGGATCGCTGCTGGAATGCCGGACGCGTACGACGCTACGTCTGTCGCTACATGCGTCACCAGTGTTGCTCTGGGCGGCGCCGTGCCGAAAGGCGTTTCAGGTGATGCAAGTCTATCAGGGGAATTGTGTAATGAAAGTACCGTTCAAAACCAAGACGATGGCTCCTCCGCTAATGGTACGTTCAAAGTATTATTAAAACAATTAATGTATATGTGATGTACTGCTATATTATATAGTAGTACATCGTTCCTTTTAGGTAATGCGATAATATTATCATACATTGATGTTAAACAAGGTTCGCTTATTTCATGTTATTTTTGTTGATCGTTTAATTCTATTGCTTAAAGGATCGTCACCAGCCGATTCCTTTCTTAATCATTTGCACATACTGTACTTAGATGATGGACTACACAGTTTTAATATCATCGACGAGGAATTCATGTTTTCATAAACTAAAAATTGTGATTGAATATTGTCAAACTTATGGTATGGAGATTAATCAGGATAAAACAAAATTACTGTACTGGTTATTAATGGTAACTAACAAGATAAAAGTACAATAAGGGTTGAGAATATTACAATTGAGTCTTGTGAATCATATATGTATATAGGATCCCCAACAACTAGTCAGGGAACAATTAAATCAGTTGTCGATCAACACTTGAAAGAGAGGAAAAATTCTGTTATTAAGTTTGGTTCTTTTTTAAATAGAAATCCTAACTTACCATTCATTTTTAAAAAGAGAATTGCTGAGTCAGCAGTAATGTCGTCATTATTGTACGCTAGTGAAACATGGTTAGGAGATGGGTTTGCAAACGCATGTCTACTGTCTTTGTATATGAATGTTGTAAAACAACTTCTTGGAGTAAGAATGCAAACCCCCACTGAATTATGTTTGATTGAGGCAGACATGCCAGCCTGTGCATTTCGAATGAGAGATGCCCAAAAACGATGGTTAAAGCGTAATATTGTTAATAATCCGAATCCTCATGCTCCACTTATTAAGTTTGTGTCAATCGGTGGATTCACCCATGTTAAGACATATAAATGCGGTAATCTCAGATTCAGGTACGTTGCATGACGAGATGGTGCGCCTGAGAACTTGTATTGTGGATAAAACGACAACGCGATTTAATCAGTATAAAGCATTTAATCATGAACTTATACAAGCAAAATTTTATTTATGTAAGGATGTTCAAGAAAATGAACGAGTTGTTTTAACACGTTTTATTTTAAGTTCTTACTATCTAAAAGTTGAGACAGGTAGATGGTCCCGAATAGACAGAGATAAAAGAATATGTAAGTGTAAAGAAGGTGTTCAAGATGAGCATCATATTTTAGTTGATTGTAAACTTACCAAGGAAGTTACGGTTCAGATTAGAAATACTTACCATAATGTTAACGAAGTCTTGTTTGGAACTGTTCTTCCACAACAATTGATGTCCCATATTGTTATGAAGGCAATGGAAATATCTCAAATGTAAAACGTATTTATTATGTATGAAGTTTTTTATGTTGGCCTTTGTGGTCAATAAATATACATATATAGGAACTACATCTACGGTGTAATTCTCTAAGGTAAAAAATGACAATGTATTATACGTCACTACATCTCTTATTTTGCCTCCAACTATTTGCTTTTATCGACTATATTTTAGAAAGTGCATTCTGCATTCACATGTGCTAAACTGTACCACAAAAACTAAACGAAATGATGATGAGTAAATAATTAAAATAATGGTGGTGATAGTTATAATGATAATGATAATGATGATGAATGGTTCTGCTAATGATAGGATATGATAACCTTACATTCTGTGTTTGTTTGAGACTCTTTTTGTTCATGGTTCGGTAGTAGAACCAAAACCGTAGGCTAACTAAATTGTGCGCACTTGAAGGAACGAGTGAAATCCTCCTAGAAGATGGTAGGGACTACCTTATTAGTGTTCAGGTTCGGTTGTGGACAAGATGTATGCACCAACGGGGTGGCGACATGATTTGCTAGGTCCGAGGTCCTCGACGGGGGAGGGGGCCGATGTCCCCGACGAGGAAACAGAAGTAGGCGTGGGACGTCGAGTGTCGCTTAAAATGTTGCGAAAGTGGTCCAGGGGGCGAAGCCCCCGGAAATTTTGACAATTTAGGGGTTTCAAAGGCTAACTTAATCGATTTTAGAGTCTAATAATATGTAGAAAATACATACAAATTTTTCTCCCCGACGAATTGTGGTTTTTCTCCCTGAAGGTGCTGGCGCCACCTCTGCACCAAATGGCACGGTGTAACCTTTTGGGGAGTTTTTGTAACGACAGAGCTGCGAAAAAGGCCAGTTATGTACTCAAGATTATTACTTTTAACATTTAACAGATTCGATATCCCCGCTGCCCTTGCCTCAGTTTTCCCCAACAGTACTCTTCCACTTGGAAAATGGTACGTGTGAAAACGTCTGGGAAAAGATGATATCGGAAGCAGGCGACTTCTACATGCATTCATCGACTCCTGACTTACACCAGACTTACCAGTATCAATTGGTTGGCAAAATGATGTACACAAGGTACCCGGCAATAGGCCAAAGTGGCCCACATCCATGGGTAAGATAACGTACGGCAATGTAAATGAAAGAAAAACGCTGAGGAGGCCTTTTTAAATAGTTAACATGCCAAAAGGTGTTAAGTGGCAAATGCAAATTTGGTGTTATGCAATCTACGTACCACCACGTAAAGCCTGATATTCATAAAAGCGCTACACACTGCCGTTAAGATGGTTTCACTGCACAGGTTAAAGTGCGTATTTGATTAGGAAGGCTCACAACCAATCAGCGTCGCCAAATGCTGTCAGTGATGGCGTGTAGCGTTTTTGTGGAAACAACATGATGTCGCGCGTCGCATGTATAGTCACGTTTATACATTGGTGTTTATTGATGTGAAAAAAATACTTTCACTGGTGTTTTAAAATACATTGTTTATGACGTGAGCTCGCGACCAACTTTAAAACAATTTCTCAATCCATATTTCAGAGTCGATTCACGTCAAACCTGAGCCGAAGAATGCGACACGTAAGATGGAAAAGAAAAAAGAAAGGGTCCCTATGCAACGTATTGCTTCCGAAGTCAAGGCATCAGTTTCTTCAGCCACATGATGTAAATCCACCAACCAACGAGAGTGTAACGTATGAGGTTGAGCCAATGGTTTATAACGACCAAATGGAGAATGACTTGAGAAAACAAATCACAAAGTTCGAAACACAGGATGAATGTAATGAATAAATGTATAGATATAATTAATAATTTTTTTAAATAATTCATTATATAAATGCAATGATGAATTATATTAATCAGTAATTACATTTATGTAATTATAGATAAAAATATCTATATAATTAATCATTATGTATATAGTAATTATATTAATAGAACTTATTATGATAGAAACAATATACGGTAGGCATCAAAATCAATACAATTCCAGAGACGAATCCAGATTGTTTTTTTTTTCTTGCCTGGGTGGCACGAGTTGTAATCGAGGACGTGAGGTCCGATGGTGGAGAGAGAAAGGTATAGAGGTGTTCCCTTTCCTATTCGCAGTTTTACTTTTTTTAATTCTCTTATTATTTCACACTTGGTCAGTTTGCTTGCGATTTGTTTATTTCTAGTAAATTTAAATACCGTACCAAAACACGACTTCTGCTCGGAAATAACGAAATGTACAAATTCTATAGAAATAGGCCTAATAATGATAACATTTGATGAAATATGTAATCCTTACCTAAAAAGAGCTTGGCAAACAAGAAATAAAATCATGAATGAATATAACGTAAATAACAGTTAAACAATAAGTAGTTTTCACCGCACGACGTTAACCTTAACTTTAACGTTAGTACCCAACATGCAGCGCGATAGCTCCCTTTTGTAAAAAAAAAAAAATCGAAATACGCATGCGCAAACCCGTCACTAACGTACGTTCTGAAATTAACGTACTCCTCAACGCAAGATGAATAAATTATGACGTCATTCGTTAACGTTGCGGTTAACGTCGTGCGGTGAAAACTGCCTAATATGTAAACAACGACTCTGAAGTTTAACGCTGTTTCAATGATTCTTAACCCATTATAATTCTTTTTATAAACAATTTTAACAACCTGTTTTAACAAGCTTTAAATGTTTTTATTTGACTATTTGGCTGCTGCGGAGGAAGCGCCCATTTTGCCACAAAATTCAAGTGCAGTAATTGAGTTCGGTGTTGAAGTTTAAATTTCATAATTACTTTCATTTGTTTTGCTAGTTCACCCATCGTTTATCCGCCAAAAACTGGCACTTTACTGTTAATAAATGTTAAGTTTCTTTATTTCTGCAAAAATGTTATTACTTTAAAAAGTGTTAAATTTTTAATCATGTTACAAAACTGTTGTTCTTTTATTGTTGTTGTTGTTGTTGTTGTTGTTGTTGTTGTTGCTGATGGCGATGATCATAGATGATGATGATGTAATAATGGTGATGATGATGATGATGATGATGATGATGATGATGATGATGATGATGATGATGATGATGATGGCGACGATCATAATGATAATAATGCTGATGATGATGGTACTTAATGTGATAATGCTAGGATGATGATGACGGTGATGATGACGATGTCGCAGATGATGCTGACGTCAATGATGGTGATGGTTATGTTAATTACAATGATCGATGACGATGATGCTGACAATGAGTATTCTATTTTCATCAATAAATCATGCTAGTTACTTAAAAAAAAAAACACAAATAGGACTAAAACATAAAATTCAATTTAGGCTATTGGTTTATTAATATTTTTAATTACAATTCGTGACATGACCAATATTAATTATGTTTAATGGTGTCTTAGAAATCAAATTTCATAATACTCCTTAATTTAACTTACGTTTACATTTTACCTTTTGTTTATCAATTTTGTATTACCGATATTCAGACATGAGGGTATATGACACTTGATTGGACAGCGAGATATCGGACAGCGATATATCGCTGGATCAATTCCCGTCAGGAAACGTTTTCAAATTATAGACTGATAAAGATTGATTACTATATTTAATACTAAAAAGAAGGAAAACACTTTGATAAATATTTTGTCATCTAAAACATGTTCCGATGTATTGAGAAGCATCGTCGGAGTAAAACCCATTTCGCAATTAAAATGGGAACAAAGGTTTGATTTACAAAATGAGGTAGACTGGAAGTATATCTGGCAGTCTAAAGTAAAAAATATGAAGAGAGAAAATTGGCAGAATTTAACTTTAAACTGTTGCACAAACGATTCCAACGGGAAAACGTTTATTGCTCTGGAATATTGCCGATGCAGAAATATGTGATATGTAACAAAGTAGAGGACGAAGAACATTTGTTTTTCTCCTGTAAACGCTTAAATGGATTCTGGCAAAAAATACAATACATTCTGTGAATTTTATTAAGAAATATACAAATATCGTATCAAATTATTATGTTAGGATCAACAGAATTGATGGATAATTATAATGTAACGAATCAGGTACCGTAATCACTATTGCTATGTATACCATTTTTAAAAACAGGTTGACATTGAAAATAACAAATGTCGACAATAAATTGTTCTTAAAATTTAAGAGTGAATTAGAAATAAGAATAAAATGGAGTATACTGTACGACGAGAAGTCGCCATTAAAAAATGGTCAAATATAGACTTGCTATAAAACGTTGGAGAAAATGATATATTGTATGAATGAAGGTGGGTTAATTACCAACACGAAATAGAAAAAAAGAAATGAGTTTAAAGAAACAAATATAAGTGGTTTATAAAATAAATTGTAAGAAAATGAAAAGAGCGAAAATCATTATTAATTGATTAATTGTATTGTCTGTTGTAGGATGATAAACTTAAAAGTGGTCTAATTTACAATGTTTTATATTTTGATTTTGAATATGCAGATTCAATTTCTTATTCTGAAAATCATTAATATTATGTTCAGATTATAAGTATTTTACTATTGAATAAGTGTGGCTTTGCCAGAAAAGAGAAAAAAAACTGAAAAAGATAAATTTTTCATTCACAGGCTAGGCCCGATACGATCTTTGCAACATTGATATTTCATTGCATGGTCCATGAGGAGGTTTTCAGTGTTTTTCTGTGTACTGAAACTACGGACTCACACCTTGATGTCGTTCTAGGAAGTAGCAGAGTTCGTAAGTTGTGAGGTTGCCTCCAGTAAAGATAGGTTGTATATTGGAAATCAGATGAGGTAACTCTTCCTCCTCACTTTTGAATGTATGGCTGCTCTTGCGGGCTGTAGGACAGATACAATCAATTTTGTAATTATATCGATTATATTGTTAAGTTCATGACATAAATACTGTGAACATTTTTAATGGATTGCTTGCGCTTTATGAAATAAAGTTATTATTATTTATTATTACATTTAGGCACATGTCACACGTTTTTGTCATATAAAATTGAAAGACTTAATAGGGCTTAATATTACCTTCGCTGGCAAAGAAATTTGCAAGGTGTTGGGCGATGCGGATGGCATTAGTAGTTCGCGGTATATTCGGGTTTTGGTACCGATTCCACTCGTACATGGTCTTCTCTGGGTGCCATTGAACAGCGTAAAACGGGTAATCAATTGCTGAGGAGAATAATAAAATTTCATTTGATTAATTTTGAGCTCATCAGCATCAAGGCTAATCTAATGCCAATCTGTGCTATTCCCACATCATCATTTTATGTATTATATTATACGTGGGGGTATATATATGTAAAATGGTCGAACGAGTTGCAAGTATAATGTGTGGGTGTGAAAAATTAGCATAAAGGAAATTGTAAACATTGGCTCATCATGAGTATATATGCTGCATTTATAGACCTACTTACAAACAAATAGGCCTAAATGATCTATGTTTTTGTTTTCTAAATATATTACATTATTGAAAGAAGTGGATTTAAAACACGTAGTAATTACATCTTTAATTTAATCGATATGCTGTACCTTCAATGGATGAAATATACTCAAGACCTTTCCGGTCCGTATTCACTGTTACCACTTTGAACAACTCATCTAGACCATGTTGCTTAAACATCTGGCAACAAAAAAAAAATAAAGTGATACATCTTTGACTTTTTTTTAACGTAAAATATTATAAAACTGTTAGCTTAAGGCAGTCAAAAAAACTGACCAATCAGGCAGGGCTAAAACTACGCGCTTGTCCCATAAATACATGTGTTGTCACACAAGTGTACGTGTGTTTCTGAGTACGTTTTGGTTTTACACTTTCGTTCTGAGATCTTAGCGGGGGTCTCTCCGGATATTTGCCAACAAGGGGTCCGAACGAACCAAGGGGCCTACTAGAGCCTTGGTCGACGGCTCGGCATAAAAAAAAATCCTGATAGGGTGAACGGGGAGAGTTTTTATGGCTTAGTATGGTCCAAATTGCTTGTAGAACACAATACTGTATTAGAAATTGGGAACCAAAATAACGTTATTTGTATAGGAAAATTATTAGTCTTTTAATTTTTGAACCGATAACCTAGTTGTGGCATCGGACGACATGGGTTTCAGGAATGTCCGACGGGGGAGGAGGAATTCCCTCTCAGCCTACGATCATCGTGCACGCTTCGTCAAATACTTCTCATAAAAGTGCAATAGAATTCACGGAAATATGCCTAACTTACCCAATTAGTAATACCTTTTTCATTGTTGTGGTAAGTTATATTTTCTGTGGTTACTGCTTCCAAGAGATCTGCCGGCGTGGACATTACATTAAACATTCTACTGGTGTTAAAATCTGAACCAGGAGGGAAAATGTTATTCTAAAAAAATCTGCTAAAACTGAGAGTGAAACTGGAATTCGTGTTATGCGTTATTTTTGTTTAATATGGAGGTTTCTTAAGCTTACGAAAGCGATACCGTACCTAATACCGGTACGAGTACGTCATCAACATGTTTAGTCAATTCATCCCCTACAGTAGCATTTTCACAACGTATTCCATCCATGCCTTTTACACGAATCAACGATCATATTCAGCTCTTATATATATTTTCAAAAATTGTTTTAGGCACGAATGACGATAATGAATGACGTATTCGAATTCGTTATCGTTTTCGTAAGTTTGCGAAATCTCCCTATTAAGGAAATTCTAACGGCAATATTATAAACATGTTGTGAAAATGTCACCTTGCTATATATCAAATACTCCTTTCCTACCTTGTCCTATCACCAATGGTATAGCCCTATTTACAGCATCGAAGCCACCAAGCCGGATGTTTTTGCCAGCAACCAGCGAAGCCAACACTTGGAAGCCTAGGCACGTCCCCCATATTGGAAAATAGTCGCCATTTTTATTACTCTGAATGCGTAAATTATAGTCAGAATGGTTGAAATTTAAGTTAAATTAATTCGTGACTGTGTAGCACTCTGAATATGAAAATATAATGTCAAGAATGGGTATTATTTTACTTAAGTGTATATAAATGCATCTCAACCAAGATTCAGTTATCGTTTTCCAAAAAAAAAAAAAAAAAAAAAAACAACACCTAAATATAGGCATAACATAAAACAAAACAACATTAAACAACGCAACGCAACACAAAATAACACAACACAACACAGCAAGTAAAGCACAGCACAGCACAACACAAACAGAAACATAAAAGTAATCATAAACATAACATTAGCATGGAATTACATTAACATGAAATAACAACATGAGTCTATGGCTACGTTCAGACTTGGAGATAAGCCGGGCTTGAGTTAAGCCCGGTTCAACGTTAAGCCCGGCTTAACTTTGCCGGGCGTTCAGACTAGCAGGATTAGCCAGGCGCGAGAATTAATGAACCGTAAAGCCGGACACTCACTGCGTCGTACGACCGTCGCACGACAAATCCACATTTTCTTCCGGCGAGCGATAGACGACGCAACGCCGTCTGCTGATTGTCAATCTGAACTAATCCTCATTAAAAAGACGATCCGTTGGGTCCGCGTCTTCGCGTGCGTTCTTCGTCGCGTTGCCGTCGCACGCAATGAGTAACCGGCTTATAACCAGGAAACGTGTTTGAAAACGGTGCTCGATTCGTCACACGTCCGCCGTACAACGCAGTGAGTGCCCGGCTTTAGACAATCCTCCTGGCCAGTCTATTATAAGCGTAAAATTACTTAGCTCACCTCAATCGCTAGATCAAGCATGATTTTAGCCACACGTGCATATTCTGACTTCATTAACCTAGCATCCTTTATGCTTCCACCTTGCATGAATACGCTGGTAAGCACATATTCGAAAGAAAAATTATATTGTCATGTTATAATCCTTATGTAATATTAACGTTCGCAATCTATCATAATCAAGCGGCTGCTGAAACGAAACTATGTTTTGTCATGTTTCTCAAGAGCTTTAACATTTAGTTTGAAATAATGATATAGGCCTATGATAAGGTACTGATAATAATACCATTAATAATACAGGACTGTGCTACACAGCAACTTGATTTGAATATACATATATACATATATACATATTATATCATATATATACATATTATATATATACATATATATATCTGTCTCTTATACACATCTAGATGTGTATAAGAGACAGGCTTAGTATGGTCCAAGATATGTTTTTAGACCACAATATTAGTGATTGGCAATCAAAATAACGTTATTTTTATAGGCAAATTTTATATTTTTTAAATGTTCTAAGAATGTTATTTCGCTTTTGTCTACTTATTTTATAGATAGATAGATAGATAGATATAGGCCCAGGCCTAGATAATAATACAGTGCTCAAATATATACCGAAAACATGATGGTATAAAATCGTATCAAACGTATTTTATCAACGAAAATTCGTTATTATTGTTGCATAAAAAAAAAGGTTTCTGGTGGGGATCGAACACGTAATATCTCGCCATGAGCCTCATATCGTTTAGACCACAGAGGCCCGTAATATCATTTATTTACACCAACTTGTACTGTGGAGCCAATAGCTTCGTAATAGCTTAATAGGTAGAGTATGTATATATACTTATACATAGGCCTACATATATACATACATATATACATATATATTATATTGTTTTATATAAAAAAAAATATATAAAAAGATATATTAAAATAAAATATAAAAAGATATATAGACATTTACCCATTGATTGAGTTAAATATGCGCAGATAATATTCATACGGTTGTCCTTCCTTGATGACGACCACTCTGGCACCACCGGTTTCGATAAATTTTACGTACGAAGCCACAACAACAGATGACCCGATTGTTGCTAGCACCCGGCTACTCGTCTTTCGTGCTACAATTCCTTTCAAAATAATTAGTTGAAAACAGTGTGTTTACAATTTGTAAAACATGCTTGACTAAGAATCCCAACAGAGAGCCAAACGAGTGGGTTGCCGATTTAAGCCGATCTCTATAAAATAGCTGCATTATTGCTAGTGTTTCTTTGTTATCGTTACACTGTGTAGCTGTTCATGACGAAATCGGACAGGCTCCATGATTCGACCGACGAATAACCGTCAGCCGTCGGAGATAGAGTGTAGTGATGTTATGCAAACCGGGCTATCGGCTTATTGTTTCCATGGCGAATCAGACGTTGGAAAACGCCGTAAGAGAGCAGTCACTCTCCATTCGGTTTTTCCATAATCTTGCTGACAGACAGACAGCGGTGAATAAGCTCCTTGGCGGAAATAATTATCAATATAAGTCAACAGTGAATTAAATTTCTTATAGGCTCAACTCCATTGGACTTCCCAAAGACATACCGTATATGTGCAAACGATTAAATAATTTTGAAATCAAAATGTCCCATAAAAATGTGTTTTTGTTGTGCAGTATTAAATTGAATCTAAATAGCAGAGAATAGCAAAACAATAATTGACAGAGAAAAAAAGACGTTTACATCATTTTACTGTTGAATTATTTGAATGAAAGTGCAAAAGGAATAATCTCTTACCGATTACTGGTCGATTGTTCACATAACGGTTTCCAGAGCAAACATATATTAAGCAAAAAATAATTATGGTAACAAAAGCAGAAGACATTTCAGCTTAATTACAGAAAATTGTTTAGTACATGAGGGCTAACGTATCATATTATTAATAGTATGCCTATGTCGGTAGACCTAAAGGTACGTCTGTACGTCATTGGACGATGAGCAGATTTTATACGATATTGAGTATGCAAATTAATCAATGCACAATTCAATTCAATTCCTTTATTCGTCATATAAATACATGTATGATTATTGCCTAATTGTTAATGACACAAAATATTTAAACCTACACACTACACAGTGAAAACATAACCATTTAAACATATACACCGGTTTACTTGAAAGTTGTTTGTTATAAACTTATGTTATGCTGTGCTGACAACTCATAGATTTTACCCGTTTTCACATGTCACTACTCTGTAATTTTCCCGATTGGCGGAGTCTCGGCCACTCTAGAGTAACTCTTAGATAGGCTTACCTTCATATAACTTTTACGAATTGATACCTTGTTCAAAGCAAGTCAAAGTCAATTACCCAGTACCGTTCGTTTTTTAATTCGGTGGGAAATCTTCCCTACTAAGTGTTTAATTCTGTATTTTCATATTCGTTTTGTTCCCGTTATTAGAAACGAGAAATGCACCTGTCTAGATTCTCTTGGCCTATCAAATAGTCTGTACCATATTTATAGTCAGAATACAAAAGAAATGCCATGATTACAGTTAATCAATTAAGTCATAAAATTTAACACTTGGAAATATTTTTAATGAATCTAAATCAATTGCTATTTGACCTACTAGGACCTTATAGCCGAAGAAACAGTGTTTAGGCCCTATCCAAAATCCAAATGGATGTTCAAATAGATGTCGAAATAGATGTACCTTAGTATAAATTGGTCAAGAAGAATATACAAAGGCAAAAATACCAATGTTATATACATAAAAACAATTTAATATATAAAATGTATATATATATTTAAATCATACTACGCTGCGTTATGCAGCATATATTTACCTATTTCGAAATAGGCCAGCCCCAAGCAACATAAAGAACAGCACGTAAAAAAATAAAAGTAAACAAAATCATGGATCAAACCAATATATTAAAGTTATACGTTCCTTTAATTTTTAGATCATCGAAAAAAGCGATAATATACAACAAAATAAAAAAAAAAATCACACTTCAGTTGAGCGTATTTTGATTGGTCGTGCTGAAGCAATAACGTTATAAAATTCATATAATCCATATTTTTTGCTTTAGGCCTTAAAATAAATTGAATTGTATTTATAAAATGTTAAACCAGTGGTAAGGTAATGATAGCTAAACCGTTTCTTCAAAGAAGGACAAAATATAATTAAACAACGATAATGTGGCTAATGGGCGACGAAATACACACACTCTCCTAAGTAGTTTGTTGTCTTTCATTAGATGGTGGATATGACAAAAACAAATGTAAACAAATTGTTCAAAATTGTATGTCATATGCAATATCATTACATATCAAGAAAGTAACACAGCTCATATGATACGACGTTGCCAGTATAAACCGGCTGGTAATTGTAGACTAGGTACTTGGAAGCTTCATCTTCGCTGGAGAAACGGTGATGGCTCTTCCGTGCTGAGAAAAGAAAACAAACATGCCATACCAAATCGGTTCTATTATTAGTATCAATAGGGACATTTCGCAACCTTAAGAAAACGATAACGAATACGAATACGTCATCATTATCGTTAATTTGTGCCTAAAACATACGAGCTGATGATCAATGATTTATGTAAAACGCATGGATGACCCACGCTGTGACACATGCTACTGTATGGGAATGGATTGACTAAACATTTGATGACGTAACCGTATTCGTTATCCGTTATCGTTTTGCGAAACCTCCCTAATATCATTAGGTGGTTGGGGGGGGGGGCGGCTTTAGCTGAGAAAAGAAAACAGTCATGCCATACTAAATCGGTTCTATTAATAGAATTTATTAACATTAGGAGGAGGGGAGGGGCTTTTATTTTAAAAATTACCGGTACCTTCGCTGACTAGAAAATTCACCACATGTTGAGCAACGGCCACGGCATTAGGAAAGTGTGGAATAGCGGAATCTTTATGTGGGTTCCATTCAAATAACGTCTTCTCGGGGTGCCATTGGATCCCATAGATTGGGTAATCAAGGGCTGCAGAGGAAACAACAATCAGGTACAATAAAAAAAAATCATAAACTAACGTCAGGTAGAAATAAATTATTTATTATTTTTTATAGCAGAGACATAGATTATTTGGGTTAACTGTAGTTTAAATAATAGTAATACGTTACATACTTTAGAATCACATAATATGTTTCAGGAAATGAAAAGTGCAGTACATATATTGTTTATAATAAATACTTAGTAGGGATAGAATAAGGCTAGAATGATAGCATGTTGTATTTTATGTGAAGCACACCAAGTAGGCCTAATAACCACCATGTACGAGGACTTGTTTCTACTTGAGTCCTTCTAAAGTAGCAGATTCAAGGGGGGGGGGCTGAGCCACCCCTGCTATTTTATTTTAAATTATAAAACAAAACTGGAAGGAAATGGTCAAATTATAATCAAGTTGAGGTCTGAGAGCACCATTTCCGGCCATCTAGGCGTGCCATAATCATATAATTTCTTACCTCAGCAATAACAATGGTTGGGCTGAGGTGCGCTGCAATTTTTATCTGTGAAAGTCCCTCCCTGGGCCTGGGCCCCTCTATTTCAAATTCCTGGATCCGCCCTTGTTCCCTCGTGGTGAATGTACCTTCCGGTAAGCCCTACCCCTTGGATATTGTTTGGATATTGTTGCTAAGGGAAGTCAAACAAAACGTGTGTTTGTGGCCCAAGCACCTATCCGTGACTCCGATATGATTGATTAATCAGTTATTAAATTTGATTAACATTTCGGCCCATTAGTCGAGGTCCCGCGTACACTAATTAATTCGGAATTTGGTAAATTGAAAAAAAAAATAATTATGTCTAGAATATCCGGAGATCTCCTCGACAGTGAACTAGTTTACTTTTGAGCCATCCTGTCAGGTATAAACTAAGGTTGTCTTGGTCGTCTTGTCATGTTTTTATACGTTTACCATTTGTATTATTTTATGTATTTGACGAAATAAATCATATGATATTATAAAAAGAATCTAACTGTTAAATTATAATATCCGGTAGCAACATACATTTTTCAATCTGAAAACATTCATTAAATAATAAATTAATCTTAAAAAAAAAACAAGTATTACCTTCCAGAGTTGAAATAAATTCAAGTCCATTGCCACCTTCGTTCACTGAAATAATTCTATAAAACTTATCCAGTCCAAACTTTGTAAAATTCTGCAGGAAACAAATCAGTATAATAGACACCTAATAGAAACCTAATACTGTAGAACAAATCAGTATAATAGATACTTAATAGAAACCTAATAGAATCTTAATATCTGTATTAGAGTATATCCTAAACTTTCACCAGTTTTCTACCACAAGCATTTTGAATTAATTTCCAGCCAAATTAAATATTTGTACAAAAGAATAATAGAAATTGTATTAAGTCTGTTGATCCGTCTGTTAATTGACGAGAAAAACAATCTAATTTTCTATTAAATTGAAAGCATAGCTTCAGAGTAAATTTTATACTTTATATACTATACTATACTATACTATATATAAATATTTTAGACACGAATGACGGTAATGATAATGACGTATTCGTATTCGTTATCGTTTTAGTAAGGTTCTAAAATTTCCCTATTATTATTTTCATCATGACTATCATCATCGTCATTCTCTTATAATTTATTATAATTTTTATTATAGTGACATTCTCACCTTAGGCGTAACTGAAAATTTATGGTGGTTATAAGTTGAATTTTCTGTTGTCAATGCTTTTAATACACAATCTGGCGTTTTTATATCAAAGATGCGACTCTTAACAAAATCTGGTTCCAATAAAATAGGACAAAAGTAATTAATAAATACAAACAATAGTACTGTTTTATAAATAGTTAAAATCAAAATACATTACCGGTATATGATATATATATGCCTATACATATACAT